ATCTTAGTGAAATCCATCTATTAGCTAAATATGAATTTTCAATATCTGCTTAACTGCCACCTATAAAAGAAAGAGAAAATTAACTTTGGAGATATCAAAAGAACAAAAGAAAGAAAGAAAATAATACACACAATGTAGAATCACTCAAATACACCTAAGCATATTATTCATGCATTCCTATAGAAGTTGTTTAAAAATTGAGGACATGTAGTGGGAAGGTAGGCCTATAAAACTGATGTTTTGAGTTACAGAGTTGAAAAGTTTTTACTAATTTTAAACTTCTGAAAGCTTAACCTCAAGTGATATCATGCCATATTGCTTTTTTATTTTTATGACTTCGATATTCATTTGTAAAATTAAATTTCTTCATATTTCTAGTGCATGGATTATAGGGTCAAGTTCGAGTAGGTGTGTGTGGAGGGAGGGGGGAGGTTGATTCTTGAGACTACAAAACTAAGGTAAATTTTGAACAAATACTTTGCTTTTAGACTATTGAAGACTAGGAAAAAGTAACAGTAACTTTTTTTCCAAGTCTCCACCTTAATTCAACCAGTAACCAGCACTTACGGCTATAAGAAAGGAATGGAACTCTGGGGGCAGAACTTTAGACAAGACAAGATTTGATATGATATAAATATTATTAATCATACCTGTATTTTTTTCATAAGATCTTTCTTTATCATTATAATGTAAATATCATAAAATAGAAACAATAATGATAACATAGCTAACATTGTTGATAACAGAATACTGATAATGGCACTATACAATGGCCTGTGACATAATCTTATACTCTTAATCCATACAACTTGCACTGGGCAACATAGCATATTTACACACTTAAAATACCTTCAGCAATGATGCAAGAAACCATTTTCCAAGTCCTTAATAAGAATTCAATCTTATATAAATCATAACAATGATTAATCTGTTGATATTTGATGTTGGCAACCCTTTTCGAAACAACACAGGTGCAAATATACCAGTAATTGTGGAATTATGGTGTGTATGAATTAATATTACCTGTAATTAATTAATTCTAACACTTACAAGTTTCAATTAGCAGTTTCAACGTAATAGTGTTTCCAAGCTTGGGAAACTAACTGGAAAAACATTCAAACGACGTTTATATGATAGCTACCTTGATTTGAATTTAAATGGAATATGGAAATGTCAACGTCAGCACATGTTAATTCAGGCGCAGGATAACAATGAACTTTTAGCAAGTACAGTAATGAAATATGGTATTTCTCGTTATGAATCATCACTCATTGAATATCTTTCGTGACCTTTATACGATTTGAAATGATAGGAAGTGAAATAAACACAATTATAATGTAATGAAGCAGCTTACTTATTCCGGAGCGTAATGACTCCCAATTATAAACATTGACAAGGTAAGAGAAAACATTGAGGAAAATGGGGCTTAGACTAATTAAATACAGTGGGTATAGTGAAACAATTACCATTTTGATTGCAAGGGAGTGTGATTGCGCACATTCCGCTGGCATTTGTCCACACACAATAACAATCACATCTCTGCCGCTACTACTAAAAAACATCGATGAAATAAATTTTCTTCTAGTTACTATTTTGCCATACGACCGTGGATTACGGTAAAAGTCTTATAGAATTTGGTTTTATATAGTGAAGAGAGGTGAAAATATAATGAAATACGTAATTGCAGAGGGGCTGGCGGCCGCGAAACGTGGCACCACCGCCCAGCGCTGCGCCCAAGCCCGCCAGCCTCTCCGCCATTACGCCCCGAGAACACCCCGACCTCTTCCTCTTTTCATGCCGGACTCGCGCCTCTCCGAAACTTCACCAAGGTAAGACATTCCCCCCTTCAATTTTCCAACGCGCCTGAACGAGCTGCCGGCGATACGAGGGCGTCGCGGGTGGTTCAATAGTGGGAGAACATCGAGTTAGCCTGGTTTGGGCAAAGGGAATTTGGGTTGGCATTCCTGTGTGGATGAGATGGCTGGCAACTGCACCGACGGCCTCTCGCAGGGCAGCCACTGACGGCTCGACGCTGCACATGATCGCATGAAGTGGGCCTGACAGGGAAAGGGAAGGGCATTCTCAGAGCGATACGGATTCTGTTCTGGGTTATGGAAACATGGCTGCTTTCGGGTGTGGGGGAGAGCCCTGGCAGCTGCTCTAGACGAAGGTGTCGTGTGCAGGGCAGCCACATCATGACAGGCCTGGCACGGCACATGACACGAGGGCATGGCAGGGGACGGAGGACACGGATTATGCCGAGCGAATTCTGTGGAGGATCATGGAATTGCGGGGGAGGGAGGGGTGGATGTCGGGGAGACAAGGGGGCCTAGGAACCGACTTGTTAAAGAGCTCCTTCATGACCGGCCCAGCGAGACATGAGACATAAAATGTTTGTGAATGGCTTTGGCAGGGAAGGGGACGGACACCCATAGAGCTGGACGAATTGACGGGACTTTGTTGAGGATTTTGGACTTTGGGTTGTGCGTGAGGGAGGCAG